GCACTTGGATTCACTTTGCATAACAGGCAATCTGAAACTCTTCAATCTACATAGTTTTCATGTGCATACACAAATATACAACTGTATGCCTTTTTAAAAGAAGCCATGTGTAATCTAATTCTATTTCAGACTGTCACTTTTAAAGAGGAAATATAACCTCATATAGATCCCCTGAGGGTATCCATGGGGAATAGAGACGCTGGTAATCAGCCTAAGTAGTCCTTTGCGTCAGAACCACTTTGCTAAAGTCAGGAGCTGTCTTCCAGACTCACAATGTTTGGAGAAATGTCACTAACGCAGCATTTCTTTCATTAGGAGAAAAACAACCAACTGTTTCCTACAGAGATGTGAAAAGATGTGAAAGTTTTCCTGTTGTTTTTTATTTAGTTGTATTTCTTACATTGTTTTCAAAAATAACAAAATGGGATGGTATGAGAACTCTATCCAGAATTCAAAATGAATTTTGCTCAAAAGGAATCCCAGAAGCCAGTGAGTTTTACCTGTGGTGTGTAAGATGGTCTTTTGGTTATTCATCTTCTTCCTTGGCTGTCTTTATTTGATGACCTAACAGGGGGTTACTTAATCACAGAGCACCTCCAAGAAAGCCCATTCTCAATGGTGCTGGCAGATCCTGCCTCATACTCACCTGTAGCTCATCCCTTCCTTCTCATTGGTCGCAACTGAAGACACTGACCATCAAAGTTTGTTCCTCTCCTTTCTTCATATTTATGACAAATTAGTGCATTCTAACCCATCTTCAGTGAACTATCTTGTTGAAAGGTACTTTTGCATGCTTGTTTTTCTTTCAGGCTACTTGATAAATATAAATCTCATTTACTTGGGCCTGTACAAAGCCGTTGGGATTTAAAACAGCAGAGACAGTGAACCACTGAAATAATTGCTTTCACCCTCCATTAATTTCCCCCTCTAAGTGTTTCTCTCCTTTCCACCAAACATCGCTTTAAGAGAAGCACTAAGAATGTCACTCTTTGCTTTATTTAGTCTTTCGTTTTCATCAGCAAGCCTTTTCAGTAAAGCCCCTATGACAGATAGAGGGGAAGATACAAGGAGGTTAAATAGTGGCAAGGGCTCAAGTTGGTTTAAAAATAAGGAACTGGGCTCAGAAAGCCTAAGTGACTTAGATCACAGAAAAAATCGACGGTGATAGTGTTTGTCTAAGGGCTCTGTGTTAAAGCTTCCCAGCTTGAGCACAAAAGGCATTTCAGCGGTATGTGGTCCAGAAAGCCAAGCACACGAAATCCTATTTCCATGTTTTAAGCATGCCTTGGCAGTCTGCACATTTTTGAAATTGCAACTGGCGCATTTCACAGAGAATTATCATCAATGCCTTTTCAAGGTCAAATGTGCTGCCTTTTAGGATTCCTGGCATTTATGTCCCCATATATTAAATCACAGAATATATTTTGAAGCCATTCAAAAACAGATGATGTAAATTTAATTAATTAGATGGTATTTATTAATACCTTGCTGATTTTTTTCTACAAGGTTAAAAAAAGCAAATCAAAAACTGAAATATGAGTTTTATTTAAATGTGGGTGTTCTGTGTTTTTGTGGGGTTTTTTTCGTTGTTGTTGTTGTTCAGCATTCCAGGATCCCTCAAATGCATGTTTGAATGAAACCCAGTTGATGAGTTCTAAAGAATGGAAATTTCTTTCTGAGAATGTTGAAGTGATATGATAAAAAAAAAAAAAAAAAAAAAAGAGAGAGAGAGAAGCAAATATTAAGGAGAGATTATCATCATTTAATTATCACCATACCCCTGGAACACCAGTCCTTATATGAACAAAATAAAACTGAATTCAGACAGTAAAATGATACCTAGACTTTTATTGGAGGATATGCCACAGCCAGTCCTTTCCCAAAGCAGGGAGGAGGATTTTAGACAGAGGCATTGCTGGTCCAGCTTTGTTCACATTTGTTGCCCTCTTTAAGTACCTCCCCAATCACATTCAAAGATATCTATGCCATTTTGCTTTACATGGGTTTTGCTTTTGGAAAAGAAAAGTGATTTGGAGAAGTTTCAATGATTTTTGGGCTCTCATAGGATTCTTACACTTCCAAGATATTTACACATTTAATTAGAATTCCAGAAAAAGATTTGGGGTAGAAGAACTGAGTTATAAATAGACACAAATCGTATCTTTTAATTCCTAAACCATTCAATCCCTGTGGGGCAAGAATTAAATGTTACTTTGGATATTTTTGTCCTTACCTAGATCTAGAGGATGCACACTTGGTCATTTTTTTTACATTACCATTGTGTCTCTGCTGGATGTGGCTATTCTCATTGTGAATTTTCCTTTAGATCTGGAGTAGGACAAGCCTGCACCTTAGTCTTTTCTCTGGCATAATGTGTTAGTTACACTGAGAGCTATCCCAACCTTCTGGGTCCTGCTCTGCACCTGTAACTACAGTGAAGCTTCTACAGGTGCAGGAAGAAGGGTATGTTCAGTGAGTCTGTCTCTCTGTTCCTTTCCCTGCTGGCTCTCCTCCAATGTTGTGGTTCTGGCATTGCTCAGTCTTCCTTTGTGGCTCTCCCTGACTACACATATTAGAATCTTCCGCTGCCCTTATCTTGTGCGGTGTTAGATGCCATGGGGAATATTCCTGGGTTTTTGACCATTTTAAAATTTAAGCCCTAGGTGTCCTTCTTATCCTGTAAGCTCATGATTTCAAAGCCTATGGAAAATTAAGATGTTTCTAACTCTTACCATATAGAACTCTTATTTTGTTCTCTACCAAATGTCCTAGGTCTTTTATGCAAGTTTTCACCCAGAAGCTCTACCTGAGCAGTTAAAAAGCTTAGTAACATTTGCACATCAAAGTAAGCTCCCATTCCCTGCTATTTGCCTTAAACTTGCTTCGCTTTCAGTCTTTGCCATTTCATTAAATAGAAATGCCATCCTGCTAGGTCAAGCAACAGCAACACACACATAGGGAGCAACAACAGCAAGCCAACCAGATCTCCTTGCCTTTCATTCGCCATACACAGTGCCTAAGTCTAAATCTCATCAATCTGAAAGTTCATATTGTGTCCACAATGTAGCTACTTAACCCAATATTACCACAGCCATCCTAGTTTCAACCACCATCAATTGAAAAAAAAAAAAAAAACTAGAAATCAACTAGAGTTGATTTAACACGTGGTATTTCTTCTCCAGCTCTGCCAGACTTAACGTCTAACATACAAGGTGGAAATCAATGCACACCATTTCAGGGTTTTTTCCCGGTCTACTAGGTGATCTGAGCTACCAGAAAGCAATCTGATTAATCCAGCAAAATGAACTCAATTTCACATAACCACATCTCTGACGCATAGCCCACCATGGAGTGACAGGATTAGGATGGATCTCCACCTATCTAGATGTTTGCTCCCAGGTGCCTTTGACTTCAGATTTCCTCATCATTGTTCATGCCTCTTTAAGCGCATGTCAATAAAGTACTTGAAACCTAGCCACTTCTGTTGTCACTACATTTGGGTATTTATGCAGAACCCTATTAAAGGCAATTAATATAATATGGAAGTTAGTGGGATGGTTGTGAACACTGTAGTGCTAGGAAGAAACAACAGGATATTACAGTAAATAAGTTTATTTGTATACTTATAAAAACAATTAATTGTTCATTTGCAGTTGTAAGATTGCGAAACTTTAAACATAATGTAGTGCTACTATTTCTCTAGAAATTGTGAAACTGATCCTCTTTGCTTTGAATTTTTAAAACTTCAACATTCTAAATTAAAAAAAAAAACACTGATATACAAGCAGAAGTCTGTCAGAAATGATACACAGAAAAGAAATAGTATGAAAAGATGCCTAGCATTCTACACCAAAGAATCAATCTGTAAGTCAAACTGGATAAAATTTTAATAATTCTGAAATAAAACAGTATGTTCCCTCAATATGTTCTTCTAAAACATTTTCTAGTTTTGTCTCTATCCTTCCCTACTCTTTCACTACCTACGTTCACTTTTTTTCCCTCCATCTTTCTCTGACATGTACAATTTTTTCTTTAAATTACTGGTTTGGTGCAACATTGTCTTGCAGCTTTACAACCTAAAAAATTGAACTTGAAAGAATATTTTCATTTCCTTAATATTGTAATCTTCCCTGAGAGTATGTGACTAACATATTGGATGGAAGTCCTCTATGAACATCCAAATATCCTATTACTAGTCTGTCATGCAATTTAATGAAAGGAATAATTTTCTCCACTTTGAAATTTGAACTTAGCAAGTGAACTCCAGTAATAAAACAGGATTCCCCAAAGCACCCTGTGATCATGGGGAAACACTTTAAGAAACAAGTGGCCTTATTTTTCTATAGAAAACCAAAGTTGTGCACCATTGCTTTGTGTACATGCACTAAGAGCTTTAACCTCTATTTGAAAGGTTGCAGTCTGTGGCTCATTAGCTTGTCACTAGTAGGTGTTACATCAAGAGAGCAATTTTGTTTGAACAAACTTTGGATGCTTTGTATCAAGCCAAGAGGTGTAATGGCCATAAAACTGCTCAAGAGCATATACCAAGGATTCCAAGTGCCTTTAGAGGCTCATACACATCTTATTATTCACTAGTCTACATCATGTTCTAGGAAGAAGATGAACTCTATTTTAAGGTAAAAACGATAAACACAGGCCATTAAAGGTGAGCATTCTTATAAAACTTTGGCTGCTAAAAAATGTGTCTGTGCTCTCTGGTGCTTTTACCAAGAGGTTGTTCAACGCACGCTTTTATGGAAAGAAAACTGAATTCTCTCCCCAGCCCATCTATACCTCCATATGCACAAAACACAAGCAAATAACTGCTGTTAACCAAGGCCAGGATCTGTCAGCAGGATAGATGAGCTTTTGGTAACATCCAGGTGTCCCTTTCACTATGTCTCCAGCCAATACTCTGACCAGCTCATTTTTGACCAGGTGTCAGCCAACCTTAGCAGGGATTGTAGATTCCCTCATGGAATGCAATGGTTTCTACTTACCGTTTGATTGTTTCTTCCTGTCTTCGCCGTTTCTCATTCTTCTCTTTCAGGTAAGCCAGATTGGTTTCATTTCTCAAGCGGTCATTCTCACGGGCAATGTCAGACGCATTTTGAATAACCAGACCATCATATGCCTTCATCCCCATGTCCTCAATATACTGGAGAAAAGTGTCCAAAGGGTCTTCTTCAGGATTAGCACTCATCATCTTGGAGTGTATCATGGAAACGGGATGCTTCCTGGAGATGACGATATATCATACCCTTAGCAAGAATGTTAAGTTTTGTCCCTAAGATGTTGTCACCCCAAATCTCAAGTGAGTTATTTGACTCCTCAGGACATATGTGTAAGGAGTACGGTTTTTCTGCCCGCTGCCGGTCTTGTCCCGCCACCGCACCAGCCCCAAATAGCACACAGAGACTCTGTATTAGATATAATTCTATTGGCCTGTTACTAGTTTCTTATCGGCTAGCTCTGTGTTAATTATTAACCCATTTCTATGCATTTCCACGTGGTCTTACCAGCGAGAGGCGGCTGGTGGTTCTAGTCTCTCTAGACTCTCCATCTTGAACCTCCTTCCTACTTTCTCTTTCCTCCTTGTCTCCTAGTCCCTCCTATCTTCATTTCCTATTGGCCAACAGTGCTTTATTCATTAGCCAGTATGAGAAACATATATACATAATGGCATCTCCCATCACATATGTGGCTCTGGTGATGTGTGACACTTAAGATAAGAGTCATTGAGATGACTCCATGGGTAAAGGTGCTTGCTGGCAGGGCTAATGTTCTGAAGTCTACCCCCAGAATCCCTATAGTGGTAGAGCATGACTGACTTTCCAAGTTGACCTCTGGTCTCCACACTTGCACTACAGCACACATGTGCTCATCTAGGTGTACTTATGCACTGAAAACAAACTAATGTGTTTAAAATGTAGAAAGAGAAGGGGAGAAGAGGAGGGGAGAGTAGGACATGAGGGAGCAGGAAGATTGAATCGGGGCAGAATAGAGGAGAGCAAGAAAGAGAAACCACAATAGAGAGAGCCATTTATAGGTTTAAGGAGAAATCTGGCACTAGGGAAATGTCCCAAGATCTACAAGGATGACCCCAACTAACAATCTAAGCAATAGTACAGAGGCTGCCTTAAATGCCCTTCCCTGATAATGAGATTAATGACTACCTTATGTGTCATCCTAGAGCCCTCATTTAGTAGCTGATGGAAGCAGAAGCAGACACCCACAGTTAAACACTGAGTAGAACCCCTGGAACCCAGTTGCAGAAATGGAGGAGTGATGAGCAAAGGGTCAAGACCAGGCTGGAGAAACCCACAGAAACAGTTGACTTGAACAAGGGGGAGCTCATGGACCACAGACTAATGGCTGGGAAACCAGCATCTAACTGATCAGATCCTCTGAATATGGGTGTTAATTGTGAGGCTACGGAAATCTATGGGGCCTCTGGTAGTGGATCAGCATTTATTCCTAGTATATGAATGGACTTTGGGAGCCCTTTTCAGATAGAGGGATATTCTCTCAGCCTAGACCCATGGGGGAGGATCTAGGCCCTGCTCCAAATTATATGACAGACTTTAAAGATTCCCCAGTGGGAGGCCTCAACCTCCCTTGGTAGCAGAAAGGGGAAGAGATGGTGGGTAAGGGAGGAGGGGAGGGAGAGGGAATGGGGATTGACATGAAAGACAAGCTTGTTTCAAATTTAAATTAAAATTTATTTAAATTATGAGTTAGAGCATAAAGTTGTTATAGAATGCTGTTAAGGAAAATAATAGCATCCATAAGGATTATATCCTGTTCATATTATATTAAACTTTTGTGTTCCATTTAATGTACCTGAATTTTATATAAATAATTTAGATTTATATACCTCATTATAAATTACACACTCCCAGAGTGTTTGAAATAACATGAATTGTATGTTACTTGAGTGTCAAATGCCAACAACATCAGCAGGACAAAGGACCACAGTTCTGCCATGAAACCTGCAAATGTGTAAACATTGTGTCTGAAGACAAATATTTGGTTTGCATCATTACAGTCATAATTTTGTATTTCAAAATACATCTTTATAATACCATAAATCTAAATTTTGTGTTTACATTATCATAATGACATTTCTATGCATATTTAAACTAAAATTTTTATGTTAGAGAAAAATTAAATTATGTTTTCCCTTAAAAAATCTTTAGTGAAAGTGTATACATCTACAATGGCCATACAAAATATAATAACAACCAAGGAAAAACACTTTGGCCATCTAATTTATATACTTTTGTGACTATGTTACTTTCAAACTGGCCCTCTATAACTGCTTCATGCCATGATTTTTTACGATATATATTGTGTATTGACAGGACCACACACATCCTCCCTATTCTTGTAACACTGGTGTTGATATTATCATAGCATTGCTAACTAAAACTCTTTAAAAAAATAACTTAAGTTACAGATGCAATAACTTGACAAATCAAGCCACAGATTAAAACATGGAACTTTGTTTATCTATCTAGCTTTCAACTATGAAAGAATGATAAATCTCCCATTACCTGCTGTGATTTGCAGAAGAGATAGCTGTGCAGGGTTTAGAATAGAACTCAACAGTACCATGCACACTAAAATACACCAGTCATGATAACACTAGTAAAGAAGCTGGACAATAACACCAGTGTGAAGTGGGTGTGTGGGTTGATGGATGCATGCATGCACAATGAATAGGTAGGTGACTTGGTGGTCAGACAGGCAAGTTTTAGAAATCACCATGCTTTGAAGAACTTTCAGGTGAGGTAGAAAAACTGCCTTCACCACAAGAAAAAACTAAACCACATAATAATAAAAAATTCGTCTTTTATGGTAATAAGGCTTCTTTAATTCCTTAATCACTATGATGTAGAAAACTGATACAAGTGAATGGAGTGTGGCATATGTCTGCCATGTTTAGAGACCCTTTCTCTAAACAAACACAAAGTACTCTACAGATCTTACTTTCTTTAAAAATCATAAAAATTTTGATCAGTTCTTCTATTTATTACAAAAGCCAAGAAGTTTCAGCTTTTCAGTATACATCAAAGTCATTCTGAAGTGAAAATCATACTTAATAACCCGGGTAGTAGTTATTGAAATCTCAATACATATCAGAATTTATTAGCCTTTTAGCTACCAGTTAATTTAAATTTGAATCTCATGCTGAACTTAAAAGATTTCTTTTCCAGTCTTTGATATTTTAAAAACTTTACATTGTTTATTGGCTTTGGATTTTTATGTTTAACTTTTATTGTTTGATTTCTTAGGTCTGGTCAGTTAGAACTGAATAGTCTTTTAATTCCAACTATATAGTGTATTGAATTATATGTAATATAATTGAATCATATTACAATTACATGCTTAAGAGGTGGTCATCTAGAAGAATAGACAGTAATACTGTGAATGAATTCCATATTGGTGAAAGGGACTCAAGAAAGTATCTTCAACTATCTAAAGATTTACTATTATGAGGAATTTGATTGCATTTCAAGAACATCCCTAGTAGGGACTCCAGGCTAAAAAAGAGACGAGCCTAACTTCATGACAATTAATCTTGCCTGAGTTAAGCAAGCCAAGTCAGTGTTATAAGCATGCTAAAGGTAACACCTCAGGCTAGAATGAGTCCTCCCACTCTGCCCTCCAGCAAAACTATATTTTTTCCAAGTGCAAGAGGCATGGTTATCCAAAGGATTGTATTTTATTCATTTATTTATTTTGCTGAGGTTTTCCAGTGACTGTTATACAGCTTATATATTGTAAATATTATCGAGGTAGTTAATGACTTCTGGACATTAATTATTATTATTAATAGCATTTCAAATTATGTGACGTTTAAATTGTTGTTCTGAGAAAATCAACCATATTGTCAAGTCCAACTCCATATTATCAAAATGGGTTACATGTTTATGTATGTGCCCATACACACCTCTAGGAACGTATTTGGTTATGTGGCAATCCATCTATTTAAGAATAGATTGAGCATCTACTACAAACAGGGCACTGATAAATTCTGAAGTATAATCTTCTAGATGTCACATTACTGAAGAAAACTACAATAATAACTACATCTCATCTGATTCTCCTACTGCTTATGTCATTACCTGGCCATGAATTCTTTATTGTCATTATTTATGAGAACAAGAAGGTATAGCTTCTCAACATTGATGCATGGTCTTTAAAATAAGACTAGCAGTCTGCCAATGATTAAGCTCACAGTATTTTATCTTCTGGTCCCCATAGAAATTAGTTTGTGATGTACTGGGCTCTGAAAAGGTCATGTAGAACACAGGTACAAGTTCATCCATGTGCTCTAAAGAGCTCAAATAAGTGGTTTCTAGGTCTGTGGTTTTGCATTAACTAATAACTTTAAACTTCACTTTACATTAAAAAAAATTATGGTAACTGGAATGAACCATGTCATGAGAATTTTATTTAAATAAAAAAAGTACATATGTTCCATAAGCATTGTGGTGATATTTCTAGTAGAGCCTTTCACAAATTCTTTTTAAATCAAACATTTTTATTACATTCATTTGAGGAGTTTTTAAATTGTTGGATATATGATGCCACAATTTCTATGTGAATGTCAAAGGACAACTTGAGGCAATTGACTATCCTGCCCTATCATATGGGTCATGGGGATCTAACTCAAGTTGTCAGGCTTGATGGCAAGTACCTTTTTCAGATAAGCCATCTGTCACCAACCACTATTGGTGTTTAAAATGAACTTATTTTAAAATGATTATTAATGATTTTGTTTTTTGTGTGTATATGTGTGTGTGTGTTCATGCATGCTTTCCACAGCTTGAATGTAGAGGTCAGAGTCAACTCTTATTAGCCTCTTCTCTCCTACCACCTGTAGGATCTGTTGATGCAACTCAGGTCATAAAACCACACACAAATGTTTCTGCTTCTCATTCAGGCCTTGCAGAAACTACTAAATTTAACAGCATGGCTCCTTGATAAATTAATTTTACTTTGAAACTTGTGGATAGATTATTTAAAACAATACCACTTCCTTCATCACAGATGTTCATATAATGGCAAAATTGGGAGTACACATATTTATTTATTTATTAACACAATAATTTATAATTAAGACACTTATGCATGCCACCTCTCATTGTCCAAATCTAAAAAGCAAGGACACTAGTATCTATGGAACACAATGTTCACTCTATCCTGAACCTTCCAACTTTGCCTTTTGAAGCTGAATGGTTTTATATGAATGAACCACAGGTCTCTCATGGTGAGCAGATTCAACAGAAAATTGAACTGTGTGAATTGTTTACATTGTTATAACTATTGTCATTTGCTGCAATGAGCATGAAAATCCAGTAAATCCTAAATGTGTTTTCAGAATGCACACTTATAGATAAGTTAGATGTTGAGTGAGGCATGCTCCATGTCTAGTCCATTTAAGTAGTTTCTGTCTCTTCAATTGCAATTCTGTTTAAACAGACACAGAATTCCTCAGCTGATCTCTCTTAGGGATTACTATTAAAATGCAAATGGGTTCTTATAGCATTTTAAGGGTTTTCTTAATAAGTAACCACCGCCTTCATTTGACTTCTAGTTAGCTATAGAAACATTAGAATGCAGAAGGCTGAAAGAGAACTTCTGCCTTCTTATGGCCATCAATAATTTTGTGTGCCCATTTTTTTTTTTTTTTTTTTTTTTGCTTAAAAGAAATGAGAGACTTTTGCTGCCAGTCTATACTCTCAGAGCAATGTATCTTCATTCTAAGTGTAGATGTACTTTCCTTGGAAGCCACAGCACTGATCCAAATAGTGTAGTTAATACAGTGCCATGTATGTGTTTAATGGAGTTCATAACTAAATTTAAAGATCATATCAAGGATTCTCATGGGAGAGTAGGTTAAATGACCAGATCAGAATCCCATGCAATACACAGGAAAATTCAAGTCTTTACTGTATGACTTCCTAGACTTCTATGCTCTGCATTTTCCAGAGAATCTGTTCATTCAGTATTTAGAATACTATGCCTACATTCATGTCTGATCTTAGCAAAGCTACAAATATTGGACTCAATGATAAAGTGGATGACTATTTTTTTCAGCTATTCAGTGTACATTATTCTTTCACTTTGTTACTTATAACCTTTGACCACACCCTTCACAAAGATTACATTGTATAATATTGTGAGACAGTCTAAAATTGGAGAACAGTATAAAATTGACTTAACTATAATGCACTATTCTTACCTTGGCCAACGGGCTAAGCATTTAACTTTGGATTGAATTTTACATACATACATATATATGTATGTATATATACTTATGTATATATATATATGTATGTATATACATACATATATATGTATTCTATATATATATATCCATTCCATCATTCCATCATTGTTCCTGACTAGTGCTGAATATAAAATTGATAGTGATATTAATTCTTCACAAATATTCCACAGAAATAAACTCTCCATTATCCAAACACAGAGCAAAAATCATGTAGATCCAAATGAAATTGATATAAATGTAAAATTAGAAAATTCTCATTTTCTTCCATTTTTGTAGCTGATACTTTGCTCAAGGAAACTCAAGTGCTAAGCCATTCTGTAACACATAGTATTAAAGAGAATTTAAAAATACAGAGCATTTTTGAAAAATAAATGCATGCAAATTTCACCAAGATTTCATGCTTATGTAGTGTTTTCCCTCCACCAATAAAGAAAGCCACTGTGCATACTGTCTGTTTACAGAGTCTATTTAATATAGCATCCACTTATGGTGAGTCTGAGTTTCTCAAAGACACAGGCTGGTGTGGGAGAGAACTCAAACAGAAAGAGTCAAATGAATATTTAGGCTTCCTGGCTCTTTCTCACCTATCTCTAAGCATCTCTCATATCTCTTCCCTTTATTAAATTCTGAAACAATTGCTCAATTAGTGTAATCTCCTGCGTAGCTAGATCCACCACTCCATCTCTGTAAAGCAGACCTGATGGAAGTGTACAGTCACACAGTAAGACTAATACCTGTGACAAACCTTATAATTCCACTTACCTAGGTAAGAGTTTCATGTATACCAACATCTTCTGAGTGAACCAGGCCACCAGCTTCCTGGACACTGGTACTTTGTTGCCTTTAGTCCTAAACTAGTTACCCAAATTTCTAAAATGAAGCTATTCTCTATATGATATTTGGCTTCTCAAGGCTAAAGAGTGGAGATAACTTCTTTAATCTTTATTTTCCCACCTATATTGAAAAATCGAGAGTGAAAGACAAATCTAATTTGGGAGTGCATTGTTTTCCCATATTTAAAGACTCATAAGAATTTCTAAATTGTAGGCCACAGTGAACAATGAAAGGTAATCTTACACCCAGGTCAAGGTAAAGCTCATTTACATTTGTTATCATGATATGATTTGTCATATGCTCAAACATCCTAATACCTGGAAGAGAGCAAATGACTTGATAAAAGCTGGATACGTGACCCTTACTTTATACTTATGTTTCAGTTTATTTACAGATAGTGCAAATTTCTTAGTTTCTATTCTTTACACTTTTTGGGTTTTTAAAGGGCACTTTTTTAATACTATAGGAAATTCTTGGAATTTGAGTTATTAAAATTTGGTTTTCACTCTTGTTTTCATCATTGCATCGTCCTTGAGATAGAGAATCCTTGGGTTTCAGGTCCAACGAATACTTTCCCAGGTGATTTTGACTATTGTGTTGTTGTTGTGTTGTCGAGTTGTTCAGCAGTATAAAGACTATTTTACATTGTTTGCATCTACTTACACTAATCTAAAATCACACACCACACACTGCATGTGAAAATATAAGTATTTAGTAGTCAGGCTTCACATACGTATGTTAAATGCATATGCAAATTTCTTATCTAAAATTTGCTAACTTCACAGACTAGGACCACATCAAAACTAGCTAGCACAGTTAAAACCCATAAGCTAAACCATGCTAAAATTGTTTCTGCAAGAAGAGATTTATAAACTATCAAATACTACTACCTGAGATTTCGGTCTGTGCTTGGAATCCTGCCCCCTACCCTGCAAATGGTCTTGTTCATACTCTCATTCTCAGGGTTCTCAAAATGCAGCTGCTTTGCACAAAATGGGGAAAGAAGTTACCACCCAGAAAGCCTGCAGGAGTAACTACAAAGGCACTGATTGCTTCTTTCTTGGAACACAGATTTTTTTTTTTTTTTTTTTTTTTTTGCAGGGAGTTTCTCTTCACTACCTCCCTCCCCCAAACTGGGAAGTGGGCATAGATCGTGCAAATGCCAGGCATCTCCCTGACTTCCAGGTTGTCGTGGTGTCTCTTCCTAAAGGTCTTAAAAGATTGGCTACATTCTGTCTAATATGAGAGGCTCAAGCAAGGTGCCAGTGGCTAAGGGACTTTGTGGAGCCTTGGGCCAATTGGTTCCAGACGCTTACAAGGCAGTATTTGCAAAGCACATATAGTCAGTTTACTAAATTGCAAAGCTGACTGGCGCTGCAGTGGAAGCCATCTAATTGAGATGATAGTCTGTGACTGACTGATTTTGAACAATAGCCACCATTCTTTCCCCAGAGATTTTGACACTTTTGTACAACTTTACCACCCATTCAAGGTTTATAACTCTTCTTGGCCTTTGTAAAGTTGTAGCATTTTCACAGGTCTGTTTTCACAATTTCCTAAATATTAAATGTCTTTCACAAAATCCCCTTCTTCTCAGAGTTGGACAAAAGTGTGCTCTACTTTTCAAAGAAAAAACAAAACCATTTGTACATCCCTGGCTCTGTTAGCTCATTATTTTTTTAGTTAACACTTTACAATACATCAAATAAATTGGAGCATGTCCAAAATGTGAAAAGTTTGGAGATTAGTTTTTTGCTTTTGCTCTCTATTCATATTTCTATGCTAGCTGATTAAATGTAGATACTAAAATTATCAAAATTATGCCATGTAACATCTTCCAGTAAATGTCCTTATATTTTTCACTACCTTTAGACAAAAATAAGTACTCCTTTACTACCAAAACAACTTTAGTATTTTTCAGGAAAGATGACCATTTTTAAACGATATTTTCCCAAATATGCAACATGTACATTTCAAGTATTGAATATATTCCTGGATAGTTTGGAAAATCAGAATGAAGATGTTCCACTGGAATCAGTGCATTTTCCAAGAAAACAAGTCTACCCAAAGTTCTCAAGAAGATGTACATTTTGCTGAGACTAATGAAATCTTCCTGATATTGACTGATAATAAAACACATTTTCAGGAAAATGTCTATTTGGAACCAGAAATAAGCAGTTTCAGCTTCAAAGTATGTCTATCAATTTGGGTATTTTGTGGTAGATTGTATATTTTTCTTTCTGAGAATGTAAAATCTATTTCTCATTGATGGCACAAATGAACTGAGCCTGTTGTAAAATATTTATGGTATGGAATTAAGATAAATAGCAGCACACACAACTTGAAGAGAAATTAATGACATCGAAATACTATCAATTCTTATAATAAGTTAACATATCTTATTTTACTAATGAAGTTATATTTAACATTTCCATGGTAATCTCTAGGTGAGTAAGGGATTAAAAATAGCTGGGGTCTCACAAACATTGTGGATGCCCATGTTATATCTTTATTTCTGCTCCATCTAATAAAACATGCAAACTTCAGCATTAAGTATCCCTAACTATAATCCATCCCATTCTATAACCAATTGCTTCTTCTATTTAGTTCCAGATTCAATTAGCATGCTTATAAATCTGAAAAAAAAATGAGATACATACCAAAAATTAAGTCCCCGGGGAAAGCTAAGTGCAATAGTCAGGAGGTGACTTGGGTCTGTCAGAGCCCTCTCTCAGGGCTGGTCTCGGGGCAGTTCGGTAGGAGTGATCCAGCACCATAAGAAACAGACTTGTAGGTCAGTTCAGCTTTTCTTCAATTAAAGTACATTATATCTGGATGGGGAAAGTGTCGAATCCAAGATTCTTCATCACTAGAGACCAGAGCATTTTCGGTATTCTTTCTATCTATCAGATTAAATGCCCTTTAAAGTTTGCTAAGAAGATGCAGTGGCAGAAGACAGCTGCTTGCTTCCTTAAATCGACATTCGGAGAAAAGAGGGCATAGCTAATGGGTGGGGATGAGCGCACAGCCCCTCTCCTTCCAGGTCCAGCAGGGAAGAAATTGAATGATTTTACCCACTTTGCTACACAGATGATTACAAGACCCGAAGCAATCACCAATCTGGCTAAGGTACCTCATTTGGTCATGTTCTGTGAAGACAAAAAATATATGGCAACAAAAATTAGACACAGCCTCTCTAAATGTCTTCTTGCAGCCCCAAAGAAGATACTCTCTGTCATTGCATACATACAGAAGGTTTGGAAAAGCCTAGCTTGTAGCATCGTCCCTCCCCCATGACAACCATTCTGGCTCTAGTCTGTCTCTCTCTCTCTCTCTCTCTCTCTCTCTCTCTCTCTCTCTCTCTCTCTCTCTCTCTCTCCCCTCCCTCCCTTCCCCGGACTCCCTCCCTTCCTGCATCTCTCTACTCTCCAGCTGCCTTAGTCTGTTGATGCTGCCGCTGCTGATTAATCAGGGATTCTGAAACAAAGAACCTACCTTCTGCAATAAGCAGTAATCTGTCTCCTCTGCTTCTGCAATCCGCCCGCATTGAACGGCAAAGCTGCCAGCATCCTAGAACCTTGGACAGTTCCCACACCCTAGGCCCACTAGAAAGGGAGGCAGAATGACTGAAGAAATGGCAAGAAATCCCGAAAGCAGCAACGATTTCGGCTCCCTGGGGGCTCCCATCCCCATTAAAGGCCTCCCATTCAAGCAACAGAACGTGTCTCTTTTATCTAACTGAGCTAAAGTCAATAACAAAATAAAAAGAAGATAAAGAAACCTCTTCATTTATATCCACTCTTTAGCACTAAATCAATATTTTTCAGAAAGGAAATGCAAATCCATCAGGACTATTGTTCTTGCACTGAGGATATTTAAGTTATAAGGTTTTTCGCCCCAGTGGGGCTTAGAAAAATGAGCAGCAACTTAAACGGGAACTATCGGATCTCAGTTTGATGCCCTTATTTGATATCAATTTTGCCTCCACCCACCCTGCACAGCAGAGCCATGCACACAATTACTGCTGACGTACTTCAGGCTGCTGCTTCCGAGAGGGGGAGGAGCCTTTTAACCTCATCAAAACAGCTTGATGCCACCTGCTCCCATGGCATGAGAACAAAACTAGCCCACTTGGAAAGAACGTGCACAGTGCACGTACACAGAACAAAGGTCTCCCTGGGACCGAGACGTTTTAACCAAAGTGAAATGTACAGTGATTACTCCATATGCACGCCTAACTCCTTCAGACTCACTGCAGACATGCCTTAAAGTCATTCTATTTCTTACCTTCTCCAACGAGACTGAATTCCTTTCTTAATATTCCACTGAATCCGTCTGTGTATGATTAACGTTATGCACTATGATTGACAGGTGTATATACTTGTGTCCACACATACACACTATATTTATATTCTTGTGTGAATATATATAAAATCCAAATTTTCAAGCTTGTTTTTCCTCACAGTAAATGATGCAAATAGATCTTTAAATAATATAGTAAGTTTATATAGGGTACAAGGCGATGATTTCTGTGTCTTCTTCTGTGTAATGACAAGACAAGAAGAAAGATGGAGTAAAGGAAAGTTGGGGGAAAGCAGGTAACCAAGGGGAAGGGGAATGGGGAAATAAAGGAGTACTCTGTTAAAACTAACAATAAGAATCGGGTCTAAGCTTCATATGGGTTAAAAGAGTTTTTCATAGAAAATGTGTCCACACTTTTACACTGTGGTCTCTACAGTTTTTTTTCACGTCACATTCCCCCAGAACTTTTTATAATAAATGGCTGTATGTATGCAGGCTGCTCTCCTTTCAGTTAAACAACTCCATATGAAATATCCCCATCTACCAACAAACCATAATAGCAGTAATCTTGACGTCACCTTTCCTAAGTCTTAAATGACAAAGAGGATTAAGCTAGGATTCCATATATTTTGGGTTTTTTTGAGTTTAACTTGTAAGTACCTGGGGAGAAATAAAATCAACACATTATATTGCTGTATATATCGCTAATATATTTCACTCTTTGTGACTCGTTATTCTTCTAACATACATTTTAAACTGGCTGACCACGAACTTCCAGGCAGGTCTTTGTGTATCCAGCTCTTGAGTTCAACAGGGTTTCCATCTAATGTAATGGGATGCCCTGGAAGATTACATATATGCAAAGGAAGGAGGGCAGAACAGGTGGGGGAGGGAACGAGATCATATCAGCTGTGTCTTTCTCAAATAGTTTCCCCTTTCCTTTCCCAGCCCCCAGCCCCCCTCCCACTCCTCCTCCCATCCCCCACCCTCCCAACCTCCCTCCGACCCCACCCTCCCAGCCCCCTTCCCAATCTATCCTCCCATCCCCCACCCTCCCAGCCCCCTCCCACTCCACCCTCCCAGGCCCCCTCCCACTCCACCCTCCCATCCCCCCACTCTCCCAGCCTGTAATGTTAAAAACTTAGCACATCTCAGTAAAGAGACTCAAGTACCACTTACAACCTGGCAACAGCTTTCACGCTGTGATTCAAGAGGGTTACTAATGTATCATTACTTTTGGTAGTAAAGTGCTCTTATAAGTTGTCTTTCACCTTAGAGCCAAAGTTGAAAAGTTTTTTTGTTTTTGTTGTTGTGGTTTTGCTTTTTGTTTGTTTGTTTTAAAAACGGAGTTCTTGTGACAGACATTTGGGGAAATGGAAATATTCTTATCATGACTGATAATTTAAGCAGTTTTAGATGGATAAACTTTGAAATACAGGAAGTGTGACTAAACAAGGGTGAAATCTCTCTACATTAATGGGAAAATAGTACTCAGGCAAATGAAATGACTTACCACCAGTTCTAAGCAGGAGTAGAAATTAAATCGCTGACTCTTACTGTCATTGTCTAGTATAGTGGTTTGGTCACAGTGACTCCATGCCAGAGAATGATTCCCCAAAGAGTAAAAAAAGAAAAATAAATAAATAAATAAAGTAAGTAAGTAATAAAAATGGACCTGACAAGTTTTACCACAAAGTTTCCAAAAAGGAGAGGTTAGTTTTAATCTCAAAAGAAGAATAAAATATGTATCACATTTCCAATGTTGAGAGAAATTGTATGATATTAGCTGCCCCTTACTTCGCTTTTCTCTCTTTGCTACATTACTCCCTCCCTCCTTTCCTTCATATTTCTTCTTTTCTCCCTTCTGACTCTTTTCCTTTCCCTCCCTTCCTTTCCTTTCTTCTCTCCCTCTTTTGTTTCCCTTTTCCTTTCTTTCCAAAGTTTTTTGTTTCCTTATTTTTTGTCGTTCCAAAATAGAGAGTAAGACCTAGAAATTGTGTTGCAACATGCTCATTCGCTCAAGCACACAATGCCTTCATTCTAACTACAGTGTGCTCTAATTGGACAACTTTGTATCAGGAGATGTATTAATGTCTAGGAGTTTGTGACACTTTTGAGGTTTGGCGCTTAGAACTATTTCTTCAAAAGTCAATTCAATAAAACAGAATGACCTATTGTTAGTTTTCACATAACCTTAGAACCAAATGCAGCTTCATGTCAGAGAAATATGCATCAAGAAAAATTAAAATTGAAAATCTTTATAAGGATAAAGATGTACAAAGAACAAAAAATTTCAATGTTAAGTTATGTGATTTATTAAGTTATTTATAAGTAAGTTAATTTATTTATTTTGTCCTATCTTCACAGAGTGGCTAAGTGTTCTGGTATTCCTAGGAAACCATATACTGCATGTTTTGTGTGATCTGAGAATTTACTAAGGTCTTTATTATAGAGATTCAATGGGAAATACAGACTTACATACACAGGACAATGTTTAAGCCGCCACGAGTCCAACTGCCGTGTTCCACTGATCTGCCCAGGGAGATGAGAACAACCACAAAGCCTGCTGTTGCTCTGACCTCCCACCTCCCAATAGAATTTGCGAGACCCCCTCCTCTTTCTTAAAAGAGATCATGTTCGCACACAGAAGCCATGCCTTAAAGTTGGTATTCCAAACACTATTGGTGGAATGGATTCCCATAATACTTGTGGCTGAAAGTTCTCTAAAAATTCTTAATCAGGGAAAAGTCACCTCTTTTTGTTGTATTGTGAAAAAGAGTAGGTACTTTATTTGTTAAATAGACAACTTCGGTAAACTCAGAGGGAGAGGAGAGCTCTGGAAATGTGTCTTATGCTATAAACCATCCAGATAGGAGGAATACCATTTTGTGTAAAAGTGACATATATGATAGAATTCATGACTGACATAAAATAATCTAGCTACCTAAAATTCAAGTCACCAAGCATTTCCTGAAGTCTTGTCATCATTTTTAACAAAGCCTTTCTAGCATTTCTCTATGATCTGTTTAGGGATATAAACCCATGTTATAACAAAGTTATTCTACTAAGTCAAAAGTTAATGTCCTTTCCATCCAGTAGGGTTATCGAAGGCACCCAACACCAGCAAGAGAAGAAACTCTTGAGAGAAAAAGAAAATCTACACGCCCCCCCTACTTTATTTTGCCTGCAAAAATTTAGATGTCACCAGAAGTCATACTGATACCCCATGTAGGAGCTGGTGAATTCTGTTTGGTACAGGTGCTGCCTGACCCAGATACTTTGTAACTAAGTAGTGATTAATAGTATAATACTCACAAGCTAAATTTACAGCACCTGAGGACAGAATGATATTCTGTGGGATATACATGTGGCAAGACAGATAAAAAAGATTACTGAAACAGACACCACTGCTTCATTTGAACAAATGGTATTTTTTAGTGAGGGTTCATAAATATAGTTGTTTTCATATGTATTCTCAAAATTTTAAAACTCTTAATAAAAAGGCACCCGATGATAGTGATTCAGATCACTTGTACTCCAGCCATCCAAATTCTTTCTTTGAGTGAGTAACTACCTACTCCAGGTTTCTTACCCTTAGAAGCCTGTTCTAATTCACTACAGCCAAAGTTGGTACTTGCTGTATGTTCTATGAAATATCTAGTGAATTATTAAAATTAAAATCATGAGAATTTTGTATAACATTGATGAACATAATTGCTTATACTTCTTTACACGTGCTTGTGTAAAACTCCTTAAAGAATGCCATTTTCCTTTCTGACCCTAGAGTGCCAGTACAGTGACTCCATCCCACCAGGGTTAGAGATTTGCTGAGTAGAGGAAAAAATCCAGGCACAAACAGATGGCAAATTGTGTACAGAAGTAGAAAATATGAAGTACCTATGTGATAAGCATAAAAAAGATCATCTCAATGATGAAACTATAAATGAATATTTCAAAATAAAATTAGTAAGTCAAATCGTAAATGCTTAAGAAAATCTACACTTTTTCTACCTGAAAATTCAAAGACTTCCAATATAAAATTAACTAGAAATTTAAAAAAAGGATTCCATGTGAAGAGTCACTGGATGTACAAACATGTCGTTCTTATTTTAAAAAGACACATGGGTTCGTTTTGAAATACAGTGCTAGTCTGAAGTTTGTAAGAAAGTACCACACTCCATGTGCCTTACACATTTCTAGTTTTCAAGTCCAAGATCAACATGCTTTTTTTTCCTCATGAGGACCCTTTCTGGCTTGCTGAAAAGAAGGGACTGGTTTCTCTTGCTCTCCCTGTAAATCTACTAACAGTCTCAAGACCTCACTCTCTCAACATTATCTAAACTTAATTACATCTCGAAAACCTAATTTCCAAATATCATTGCCTTTAGGGATTCAGGCTTTAATATGTGTATTGGGAGGTGCAGTTTATAATGGAGGTCTGAAGGAAGTATGGTGGAAATATCCAAAAAAGATACCTCTTTTGGAATTTTGTAAATAGTTATATTTTTATAAATTCATTATAGTCAAT